GGGAGAGGCAGGAGGCAGCGTGGAGCAGCTATCAAGCACACACTGCAGGGATTAATACTTTATAAATGTCATTGGCCTCCTGACAAGCTCCTGTATAATCCTTTTATTTGGCCTCTGAGAGCAAAACCCTCCAAACCTCTCCGCTCCCTCCTCCCACCTGTGCCACCCTCCCTGCGCTGCGTTGTCCCCACGCTGTCCCCATGCAGCAGGGATGTTTGTGGAGCCACTTCTCCTGGGTTTCTAATCTCATTTCCTTTACTCCCGCTGTCACTTCACAAGGTGTTGCCCTCCAACCACACCAGTGCCTCTCGTCCTGGCACTGCAAGGGCAGCCCGTGCTCCCAGGCATCTCCACTTGTCGCTTTGTATGCCTCTGCCATGCCCTCCTTATTTTCCCCTCTCTCCCACCCCCTCTCAAACTAAACAGGCCTAAGTCTTTTTAATCTCTTCTCATGGATTATTGATACTATTTGTTGCACTCCTTTGGATCTGTTCCATTTCTGCTGCGTCTTTGCTGAAGAGGAACGAGGAGCGCTGACTCCTGCTGAAGGTGAAGTTGATAAAGTCAGGATGTTTCTAGCTTTGCTTCCTCTTCCTCCACCCCAAACCCCTATGGCTTATGGGGAAGGGGCTGTTCCTGCTCATTGCTTATCCCTGGGCCTGGGGCAGCAACTCCAGCTGCTTCCCTAAGGGCTCATTGCAGCTTAGACCCACCTGCATGCAGCAAGAGCTATGCCATCCAGCCACTGCCCGCACCAGGTTTGTCAGAGATGGAGCTAAATAAACCCTGAAGGATTTGGAGTTAAATGATTCCCTGGGCAGGCTGGATCAACAAGGACTGAAAGGAAGGAAACTGGTAGCAATGACAGGAGAGGTGAGTGCTGGGATGGGGCCATCGCACAGCTGAGATGCTCCAGCAGCAGGGCATGCAGGCACACCTTGGGTGAGGACATCAGCTATTCACAGAGCTGAAGGTCACCCCTGGACAGCTGCAGGGGGCAGAGAGCAGCCACTGCAGTGCTGGAAATGCCACATCCAGCCCAGAGCATTCTCTTCTGCTTTTCCATTGTCTGTCTGCTAAAGAAAGCTTTGTTGGCAAACAGACTTCCTGGGATGTTTCTCTCTGCTGCTAATATGGTGCAAAAAAAAAAAAAGAAAAAGAAAAGATAGAGAAAAAACAATAATAAAAAGAACCCAACATAAAATCCCAGCCAGAATCAGAGGTCAAGTCTGAGAATAAAAGAAACAAGAAAAAGAAAAGGAGGAGGGAAAACGGCACTAAACAACCCTTCGGTGCTGAGAAATAATGGTTTGAAGTTTGCATCATTACCAGGGCTACGTGCCACACATGGGCAATGACTTCAGGCTGCGATCTGTGGCATGATGGAGACAGCGTGGGGTTGGGCAGCCCTGCTCTGGGGATGGGACAGCCTGCTCCTCACCTCACAGACATCACAGGGTCCTTCTCTCCATCCTCCCAGGTCTCTGCGCCCACTGTCTGTGCACAACCTGCTGCTGGAAGGTGGGCAGGTGGCACTGTGCCTTGGGAGTGAGGTCTGCCCACCTGGGATGCGGGAGCAGGGCTGTCACCTCCGATTGCGTTTTTCTCCAGGTGACCTCTGTGTCCATAGTGGGATTTTTACTATTTGACTTTGGAATATTGATTTTGATTTCCTTTTTTGATTCATTCTGGTTTTGCTCTTTCCAGTGGGGGAAGGAGGAGGGGCACAGGACACCTTCAGCTTCCTCCATAGGGTGAAGCAGGCAGGGTCACCTGGAAGCCCAGCTGAGTTTTGGGGAGCACTTTGCATGGAGCAATGACGTGGCTGTGAGATGGGTGGATCTTTTCTAATTTTGCTGCCAGGTCCTCATGGGTTGCTGCAATACAGGGCCGGTGGCACCCAGCTCCTTGGGAACAGCAGTGGTGGATAATGGGAGAAAATTCTGCAAAATTCTCCCAACCTTATTCTTTTCCTTTCTCCATTTCCAGTTTTTTCCTCTAATCCAGCTGCACTGCCTGTCAGTGGTCTCACGGATGCAGAGCAGCAGCAGCTGAGGCAGCAGGGATGGCCTTGGGACCACGCGTGACCCCAAGAAGATGCACTCAGGATCTGCAAGTGGCAGTGAGTGCCCAGGACAGGCTGAGAGCAAGGAGGGTTCCCTGCACCTTTCCCATCCCCACTGACAGCCCACAGCCTCAACTTGTAGGTGAAGACCAGCTCGGTGGAGCTGCCAGAAGTTCTTCCTTATCCTGAGCACCAAGCGTTCAGTATCCCTTCTGGTTTTGGTGTCTCACTCCTTCGGGAGATTTGTGGCGGTGGGGAGGAAAAAGCAAAGGCAGTGAGGCAGCAGGGCAGGGAGCAGGACTGTGTTTGTGCCCCTGCACACAGAACCGGACCCGGCCCCCCCCCATCCCCGTTAGTGGGCTCCCAGCCAGGGCTCGGAGGTCGCTGTGCCCATCACCCGGCATCTGCTGCCCTCTAGAGCCCGCACCCGAGCGGAGAAAGAGAAAGCCGGTGGGAAAATCAAGTCCCGGCAATGACGGGTCAGCGATGGGACATCTGGCAGGGCTGCAAAGCAGTCCCAGGGCCGCACGGCTGCGGGTGCAGCAGGACAGGCATCGCTGAATGGGAAAATGCCATCTCCGTCAGCCAGGTGCTCGTGTCTTGCTCATGTCTCTGTGCTGGATTGTCCTACAGCCAGGACCACCAGCTAGATGCTGTCAGCACACTGAGTAAAACTGTAGGGTGCCGAGGTTGAAATTGGGGATGTGCTCTAGATGGAGGACTTGCAGTCCATCTCACACACGTGTTTTTGCAGGGGACAGATGCAGATGCTCTGACCTCACCTGCTTCATCTCCCAGCTCTGGCCCCTCCTGCACCATTCCTCTGCACCCCTTATTAGCCCCACCTGCACTCCTTTCCTGAGCAGTTCTTCTCCATCTCACCGCTATCTGTCCTGCCACTGCACACACAGAGAGGAGTTGAATCCATTAACAGGTGGTGGGAATCCTGTCCCTCGTTTGCTTCCACCGACATGTTTTCATCTCTCCCCAGTTCAAAGGGAGGGGTTGTGTTGGCAGTGGCAATATCAGGTCACCGCATTGTGTCTGTCACTTGGGCTTCGTTGTGCTTAGAATCAGAGCCATGGAGGTTGGAAAAAACCCTCTGGGATCCAATGCCCAACCCCACTGTGCCCACTGCCGCATCCCTCAGTGCCACATCCCTCAGTGCCGCATCCCTCAGTGCCACATCCCCGCGGCTCTGGGGGGTGAAACGGTGACAGCAGCACTTACTGAATGGGACACTGAATTACCGAACCTCAGCACTGCTGGAGGGATAGACAGGCACCGCCCGGCCTTGCAAGCAGAGGGGAGCAGAACGAGGGATGGGGATGGGAGGGAACAGCCCGGGAGAGGGGAAGGGAAGGGCACTAGAGGGCAGGAGCGCTCTGCCGTGATTGCAAGGCTCGGAAATCGCGTCGGCGCTTCTTGCACAACATCCCATCTCGGTGGGTCAGCTGCAGGATGTGACCCTGGGGCTGCAGCACGTCTCTGTGCTGCCCGGCTGCTGCTGGCACGTTTGCTGCCGACTGTTTTCCCCCAGTAAAGAATCATCGTGGGAAGAGCTCTGTTTGCCGCCCCTCTCCTGCTGCTGGGAGGACATCAGGGCTCTCATCTGGGTGCAGAGCAGCCCTGCAGCGCCAGCACGACCTGACGCAGCCGCTCGGCTCTGTGCTCTCTTTCTTCCCTTGCCCAATTCTGACAGCCCTGCAGCGGTTTCTTCCTTCCTGCACGCTCCCTGCTCACAGCAGCACGATGTGCTGCAGCTCCCGCCTGCTGTCACCGCCACAAACGGGGTGACAGCACAGCTTACAGCCACGTAAATGGGAGAAGTCAGGGCGCCGCTGCGTTCATGCTGTCAATACAGCGACGGAAAGCAGCTCATTTCCCAGCACATCCACGGCGCTTCCACAGCCGTAAACGGCCGCTCCAACTGCTGCCTCTTCCCGCTAGAGGGAACCAGCTTCTGTCCGGCACCGACAGCCGGCACAGCGCACCGGGAGCAAATGACAGCAAGGTGCAGGGCGGCCGCAGGGCGCTGCCTTCAGGAGCGGCGCGTTCCAGAGCAGCGGGGATGCGGCGCCGAGGGGCGCGGCCGGGTGGGGCTGTGGGGTGAAAGGGCTTCTCCTTCCTTCGCGATTCCGCGAGCTGGGAAAACGCGCGCGATGAGCGGCCGACGGGGCGGAGCGGAGCGGAGCGGCCATGCTCGCAGCGCGCCGCCTCCCTCAGGGTCGGCCCCGCCCGCGGCGCCTGGCTGCGCTTCCCGAGGCGGCCGGCAGGCGGCGCTGCGGCCCGGCCCGGCGCGCGTGTGCGTGTGTGGCGGGAGCCCCCGGGCCGCCTCTTCCCC